TCATGAGAATCGATGACTTCTTTTAACTGTCGTTTACATCTTAAGCTGAAATCAACAGTTTGACACTTAGAAGGATTCAGTTTAAGACCGTTAGACTCAGACCATTTGCTGACTCCCGATAGAAAGCTATTTATTTTGGTACAATCTAGCTGGGAGTTAACAGCCATTGAAACCGTTAAATCATCAGCGTACTTCACAAAGTTTATTTCATCAGAGTGAGGCAAGTCATGCAAGAAGAAAGAAAAAAGAAAAGGAGAAAGAACAGCGCCTTGAGGGACACCAGCTTCAGTAGGCAATGAAGTGGAAGACTTCCCTTTATACACGGTGTACTGCTTTCTTTCTGAGAAATAGGAATGTAACCAGTTAACAGCCCAACATTCTGTTTGACTAGCAGCAAGTTTATTTAATAAGATGTCCCTAGGGACCGAGTCGAAAGCAGATGTATAGTCTAGGAAGGCACAACGAACAAATTTAGCCCCCTTGTCTAGACTGGAAGCAATGTTATGATATAAGACGGCAGCTGCATCTAAAGTGCTTCTACTGTGCTTATAGGCAAATTGTTTAGGGTCATTAAAGGATTTAAGCGAAGGTACAAGACTAAGTAAAAGTAATTTCTCCATAGTTTTCAAAAAAGGAGAGGTAATAGCAATGGGTCTAAATTTGACACATGCTCCAGTAGATGATTTAGGTATGGGTACAACTTTAATGTCCTTCCAAACGGCAGGCACAATATTATCGGAAAAAGATTTGTTAAATAGATCAGTGAGAGGGTGACACAGAATATCAGAACATTTTTAAAAAATAATACTAGGTACATAATCGGGACCTAAGCTCTGGGAAGGGTTTAGAGACTTGAGGCACTTTTGAACATCATTTGTGTTAAAACCTGGAAAGGGGCTATTATTAACACAAGTGATGCTGGGAAGCATGGCATTTGAGGGAGAGTAAATAAAAGATTTATTAAGAGTACATACATCAAAGGAATATGGAATATTGTGTATCTGTTGATCATTTGAGGGAAATAATTTACTCCTCTTACATCCATATTCTTCAGCAATGCTTTTTCACCTCCAGATCCTCAAGATAGTGTGAATAAGTTTGGAATTCAATGGATGTGATTGTGAATTACACCACCGATTGAGATCGTTAGGATATGTGTTAGAAATGTCTAACCGCATCGCCTTCCACGACAACGGGAAATATTAGCCTTTGACATAGGATATAGTTGGAAAAGAGTTAGCCAGTAGTGGTCAAACGAAAACATCACTTCATCAGTCAGTGAAATCCACATGAGTTGGTTTAAGCCATGTAGGGGGTGGTAGACTTCCTGGTTGCGGGGGGGGGGTTCCTCGGGATAATAAAAACTAATGATAGCTGGGGACAGTCGGGTATAATAGCTCAAAATCGTTCTCAATGCATAGCGCAGATGCATTCACTCGTTGTAATTTAATAATATCCAATAAAATTCTGTTGTTCCTCCATATTACTGTTCCTTTTGCTTCATATTTCTATTTATTATCTCTCTCCTCTCTTTTGAATCTCTCTTTACCCTCTTCTCTTGCTTTGTGTATTACAAGGAAGGAATGTGGCAAGTTGAACTGCTGCACATCTGTGCAAAGTTCTATGTTGAAACCAGTCAGTCAGTTTGTCGGAAAAGTTATGAAAGCTTCATGAGGTGATAAATTTTTTAATTGAAATATGTTAAACAAATCAATGTCTTCATATTACTTCAACTTGTCATGAGTGTATGTCTGTGGTGGTGGTGATTCATTGCCAGAATGTTCACCAGTCACTTAGCTTGGGCTAGGTTCAACTGGTGGCCTAAACACCCCCCCCCCGATTCCATCGCATAGTTCATAAGCCGATGTCAAGCCCGAAGAAGAGGAAAAGTTGGGCGTGAAGCTACTGAAAATTAAAAGCTTGACATTCAAAGTCCTGCGTTCCAATAGGAGAGCACAGGAATGAAAAAACAAACAAAACAACAACAAAAGAACGACTGCATAGAATCTGTACAAATTTACTATCATGGTTATCTTGTTATCTTTCACTGCGTTTTATTTTTTCTAAACCAGTAGATACGTGAAGTTATCAGCTTATATATGTGCGTGCTACTAAGTAGTTTAGGTCAATTATCAAATCAAAAGCTTACAAAATCTTCCATTTATACTTACGTTTTGAATAGTCAAGTGGTACTTTTCGCATTCGGCCTGATATGTTCACTTGTGCACTGTCCTCTGTATCTCTCTGTCTCTCTCTCTCTCTTTCTTGTGATCATGCTTTGTCAATATTTTTGAAATAATACCAAATTTATTTACGATGGTGCTTACACAATCGGTTAACGGCTTACTTCATCGACGTCGATAAGTTAAGCTTCTCTTTACTTTTTAAATATATACTCTAATATAGTTTTCCTAGAGTATGTATGTGTGTGTCAATAAACCTGGGAAACAGTTGTTTCGTCTTAGTGTTGGGCTCTCCAACAGTACGCACCCACTAGCAGGGTTCGAACCCAGGACCTTCTGGTTACAAGGCTAGCAGCGAGCTTGTAGACCATTAAGCCACTGAGACCGGCGTGATGGCGTCGGTGTTACAGTGGTAGAATGCTCGCCAACCACGCAGGTGGTTCAGGGTTTGATCCCCAGCCGACGCACTCTTAAACTTCGCTAAGCTGGTTATAAGACTGGTAAAGAGAGAAGGTTTGGCATGAGACTAGCAACCCCATCCCGTTAAAAATTAGGCACCACTGCTACTGAAACTTCAAGCTGGCTCTAGCTGCAAGTCCCCGTTGTTCCACTAGGAACGTAAAGGAATAAAAAAATGTATGTGTGTGTGTGTGTGAATGAAACCTTTGTAATGGGGAAGTGCCTAGCGTTGTCTTACATCTGAGATTATTGAGAGCGATAAAACGGACTTTTATACTGCCGCCAACCTTTGTTTTTCATTTTCCAGCCGATCAATTATGGTTGCTCAAGCGAAAGACAAGCTACCTAGTTGTGCCACTTCTATGTGTATCTAAAATATTAGTTGCTCCTGTGGAGAGAGCTGGCTATATAGGGCAAACAACTAGACAGTTTAACAAACGCATTAATGAGCATCTTCCTTCATGGTTTGGAAGAGGTCAAATAAAAGCTATGCGAAGTTCTATTTTGGCTCATTTGATTGATGATAGTGGTCACCAAGTGGACAAAATAGTGCCTTCGAAGTTATCTATCGCATTCTATTGAGCCTTTCGAATGGAATACGAATCCGTCTTTTACACATAGCCGAAGCTATGGGAATTAATTCGAGAGAACAATCCTAGTCTTTGCCTACAACAAAAGAAGTTTGTTACACCTTTGTCTCTCCCTTCCTCGCCTGGGTGAATTCTATTCAAAACCCTCGCACCCTTTTTTATCTTCCATCTCCTTCGTACTTTTATGATATTTATTTAAACTCTGATTATCTGTTCACTTCACCTTTAGTATTATGTAACTTTTAAGATTTGACCTAATCTATTTATTTATTGAATTGTCTACATATACACATATTACTACCTTCGTTAATCTTATCGCCCCACCTGTATATACCTTATTATCAATATTTTGTTTTCACTATAATCATCGTTATTAACTCCGTTCAAAACATTTACCACATTATTATTATTATTATTTGATCCACAAAAATCACAGTCATTGGTTAAAAAATTTTATATATTCATCTTCAGAACCTATTAACGGTGAGAACAGGAGGCCTAGCTCTTTTATTGCGAAACATATTATAGAGACAGGACATAAAATTGACGTTAACAGATCTTTTAAACCTATCTATAAAACGTGTTTGGGGCGTATCCTAAAGTTTGTGGAAGCCCTAGCTGGCAATTAGAAAGTCTAAGCCACCTTTATGCGTTCAAAAACAATACTTTGTATTGCCGAAGCCTTAGCGATTTGGATAGAAAAGCCTGAATTATGCACACAGAAGAAAATTCTACACCCCCTTCTACTACCGTGGGTTTAATTTCAAGTTCATCTGTCATCAACATTTTGTTATCAAATTTTTTTTTTGCAATATTCGTATAATAATTTTTAGTAACTAACCCATTCAATCTTTTCACCTATTATCTAGTTTATTTTCATAATTGTCTCCATACTCCTTCACGAACATGTAATCTTTCTAAACATGTCTATATTACGTAACCCTACTCACATCTAACCAACCCCCACCCCACTTAGTTACAACTTTGATTATTAATCACACATTTTAATTTCTATATTATTTTGATGACGTAACCCTACTCACATCTTACCAATTTTCACCCCACTTAGTTACAACTTTGATTACTATTCACACAATTTAATTTCTTTATTATTTTGATGATGTAATCAACAACCCACACTAACTGTTATTTTGATTTTGACAAACCTTATGTACACACACACACACACAAATTAATTGTATGTATTTGCGACTGTACAGCTAAGAGAATGAATTCGCCGAAAAGAGACTCTTCGCTGAACTTATTTGTTCTTATTTCAATGTCTTAATGGGTATTTTTCGCGAATCAAAAACAATTCGTCATCACATTAAACCTTCCTTGGTAAGCTTTGTTTTGATGCCAACCATAGCAGATGTACTATTACCTCTGGTATTTGGTTTAGTGATCTTCATATTGTTATTTTGACCTTCAGTATGTCCTTTTAAGTTGATCTAAGTCTATTTTCTCACCTCTTACTTCTTTATTAATTTCATATATACACATTCCTATGACAAGTCCGTGTGTGATGGATCAGATTGTTCGAAATGTGTTGTGGGCGCAAATACATTGCACGATTCAGACAAATTACGTCTTCTTATTGTTCTATCTAAAATTCATAAAGGGAACTAATTGTTTTAAATATAAATCTGTGTCAATTAGAAGAAAGCCTGAAGAAGATCTAATTGAAAACAACAGCAATATTGTTCGCTTATGCGTCTTGTTGTTCTAAAACATTTGTCTTAACTTGTTTCTTACTTTTTTCTTCAAGGTATTAGAAGAAGAATACTGTTGGCGAGAAATAAAACGACGTTATAAAAAATCAAATGATTCTCGTGATCGATCACCTGTATCAAATTATGCACAATCTGAACAACAACTTGATGCCCTGGAACGAGCTCTACGTGCAGACGCTAAACGAAAATTAGAATTACAAGCTACACGTTCATTGCCAAGTGCTGCTGGTGGACAGAATGCTAAAGAATTTTGGCGTACATTGGCTCGTCAACATTGTGATACTGGTCGTTGGGGTCATGATGGTTGGGAAGAATTACAGAATGAAGGTCCAATACCTTTTCGACGATCTAATACTACTAACACTGGTGCTGCTGCTGCTTCCGATGATGGTAACTATGATAGTGTGAAGGTAAAGACGGCCTCTTTACCACCAAAACTACCATATCAGTATACAGTGGAAAAAGAGACAAAAGAACAAGAAGTTAAAAAACCAAAGAAAAAAGCTAAACATAAAATATCTCATTCTAAATCGAAACGAAAACATGCTAAACGGAAGCGTAAGTCTAAATTGAAAAAGGCTAAAAAGTTGAAGAAAAAGAAGGGTAAATCGATGAAAGCGCGTTCCCCATCTTCATCTTCCTCCACCACCTCATCGTCATCATCATCATCTACGTCCTCCTCCTCCTCCTCATCATCATCATCTTCGCGTGCCTCTTCGCCTTCGCATTCATCAGCATCGTCAACAACAAGTTCCACTGGATCAGACGATGAAGTTGAATGGCAAGAATTAAAAGTGCAGCAATCCTGTCCATAGTAACTGAGAATCTTTTTGGTGTGTTTTAAATTGCAGTGCATTTTGTAATCAACTTGCAAATTTTGTATGAATGTTTCTTTTTTATTTTTTAAATTTTGAGTCTCTTGTCTAATCCTCGACTGACTGTCGTCCTTAATAACACGTGTGTTTTCTTTTTTTTTGTTTTGTTATACATTGACGAGAGATTCCTTTTAACTGTAATAACTACCTTTGTTTAAGTAAGTAGTTTTGTATACTCGAGAGAGAAGGAGAGAATGTCTTTCTCTGAAGAGTTTTGTGATGTCGTTTTCTCTTCTTTTTATGTTTTATTTTTTTTCATATTTTTTACTTGTTGTATAACCACTACTCACATTCCCACCCACCAACCCACCCTCTATTCGCCTTTCTCTTGTAATTTACATTTCTATGTGTGTCAATGTCTGTATTCTGCGCTTTTCGTATTTGTATGTTTTCGTACTTTGTCATGTTTTGAAAATTGACTAACGTATCCAAGGGATATTTTTACACTGCCCTTTATTTTACTAATCATTCTTTAGTATTGATGGTGTGTGTGTATATATATAACAGGAGTAATGGTGAATGTTTTTTTGTCTCTAAAGCATATGCAGTAACAGAATTCAGAATTGTTTTTAGATTGTTACGTACGGTTAGGGATGTGTGAAACAGATGAATTAAGAACACAAGTGGTGACTCAGCGGAGAGACTCTTTTCAACAACGAATTTATTATCAAGCTGTACAATCGTATATAGTATTATTATTATTGCTCCCTTGGGTTCCTAGTGGAACATAGGGTTTCAACTGCACGTCTCCATTTGCTTCTGTCTTCTACTGTACTTTTCACCTGCATCCATGTTATTCCATACTCTTTCAACTCCTCTTCACACGATCTCCTCCATGTCACCATTGCACCGACGTCCCACACGCCGCTTCCCTTTCGGGTTCCACTTGAGGGCTTGACGTGCGATGTCACCCAGCGGTCTCCTCAGCGAGTGTCCGATCCATCTCCACTTTCTCCTGCATATTTGTTGGGCGATTAGTTCTTGTTTTGTTTGTTAGTGCCCATAGTTTCTTGTTGGTGATTCTTTCCGACCCGGCTATCTGATCTTCAGTATAGAGCGAATACAGTTGTTGATAAAGGTCTACAACTGGCTGTTGGAAATATTCTTTGTGACCCGCCCGCCAAGTTTCTGATCCGTATTGAAGAACTGACTGACTTGACGTTTGTATTGAAAATCCTACCGAATTTTGTTGTTGACGAAGATTTCCATATTGGTTTCAGATTGATGAATGTGTTTCTCCCCTTCCCAATTCTCGCTCGATTTGACATCCTTGCCCGTTCCTCCTGTAGTTGAGACAATGCTCCCTAGATAAGTGAATGAAGTAACCTCTTTCAAATCCCTCCCGTTGATGGTGATTGGCGCTGGATGTTGCTGCTGTTGTTGTTGGTTGGTTATTTTCATAAAATCCGTCTTGTCTATGTTCACCTCGACTCCTGTCTTCTCCAGATGCTTCTTCGACCAGTTTGTCGGTTTTCACTTGTAAGTTTTTGATTTTGTGTGACATCAAACATAAATCATCCACTCGCGAAATCCAGGTCTTCTAGGTTCTTCGCGTCGGTCCAGGATATTCCTGTTGTAACAACAGAAGACAAGGGCCAGGCAACAGATCGTTTTATTATGAAAATCAACACGTATTTATACATCTTTCATACTACATTATTATAGACAAGCGCAGTCATCTGATTGGTTGTTTAGGTAGACAAACGCAGGCTTCTGATTGGTTGTTTCGGGATTCCTTGACAAACAGAGTTCTCTATCTGCGAATCATATTTTGCCACGTTAACTTCGCTGTGATTGGTTGTTGACTCAGCCTTGTTCACGGCCCATATTAGTGACCTAGACCTTAACGTAGATTAGTGCCAACCAATCGGCTAGCAGCCTGCTCTCACCACACTCGTCCCCCCGTCAAATACGTGCGACTGAAGTCGGCTTGATCTACTTGGTGCAGGCGTCATCGTTGGCTTGTCTCGCTGTATCCATTTCTGGAGCTCGCTGACGTTCACGCGCCTCTCATTGTTCGCCATTGCGACTGTGTCTGCGTAACCCCATCTCGAAGTGACCATATATGGTCCTTCCCACTTTGGAAACTGTTTGCCTGACCCTGTCGAACATTCGTCCATACTTCGGCCCACACCTTCATATGCTGTTTTCGCCCGACCTCCCAGCAGCGTCTCAAGTAGCAGCTCCATCGCTGACAGATCTTGAACGCCACTCAACTGCGCAGAAGCCTTGAAGTCCTGCCCGAAGATCCATATGTCTCCATCAAAAACTGCAGGGTATAGGCTTTTCATTTGTCGGTAGGCAGCGACACCAAATGTAACAACAGAAGACAAGGGCCAGGCAACAGATCGTTTTATTATGAAAATCAACACGTATTTATACATCTTTCATACTACATTATTATAGACAAGCGCAGTCATCTGATTGGTTGTTTAGGTAGACAAACGCAGGCTTCTGATTGGTTGTTTCGGGATTCCTTGACAAACAGAGTTCTCTATCTGCGAATCATATTTTGCCACGTTAACTTCGCTGTGATTGGTTGTTGACTCAGCCTTGTTCACGGCCCATATTAGTGACCTAGACCTTAACGTAGATTAGTGCCAACCAATCGGCTAGCAGCCTGCTCTCACCACACTGTCTTCTCGTTTCCCACTGTCTGACGCATAGAATGTTCGTACAATGTACGAACGAACCGTATATATATATGGTTTTTTTTTAAAGAAATTATATCCGGTGAGGGAATTAGGTCAAAGGTGTGAATACATGAAATAATAATAGTATGAAATGCGAACCATTGGATCGGGTCCCGGTGGCTCAGTGGTCTACGAGCTCGCTAGCCTTGTGACCAGAAGGTCCTAGGTTCGAACCCTGGCGATGGGTGCGTACTGATGAAGAGTCCCAAACTAGGATGAAACAGCTGTCCAGTACTCCCACGTGGTTTTTCAGTAGTTCTCTAACCAATGTGTCAGCTCATGGTGAAATCCTCCATTAAAAAGCGATTAAATTATTTGTGATTATAATCATGGTTTAATGTCAAGTGGCAAAATAATTAATGTCATATATAGAATAATACATAAGGTGTATAGATGTTGGAAAGGGGTAAATAATTATAAGATTAGTAGACGAATATAAAATGTTACATAACACGGTGTGAAATTCGATACGATAGAATTCAATATTGTAAAAATAAAAAAATAATAATTTTGGGTTTAGAATCATAAGTGGGACAACTGGAAACAATTCAGAGTGAGAATAATAATAATAATCGTAGTAATAAGGGAAAGGTACCTAGAATAACTACATAAACAATTTTGTTTTACAACTGTACCTCTCATGGAAACTGTTTACTATATATGTGATTATAATGATACACATAGTTTAGAAATAGGGTTGCCGAAAATCCACCTAAAAGAACTTTTATTGAAATAGGGATTCTACATACTTCTTTTGTGCACAAAGGTCCGGCTGGCTTATATTCATGAATGGCCGAGGCCTCCATTGTCTTGAGAAGTTTACAACATAGAAAACGCGGCCAACAAGTTAACACGGATTCGACAGATGATCTTAAAACCACAGCCTGTGTTGATAGAGTAACAGAAGTCGATCAAGTGTTCTGGAATAAAGCTTTTGAAACTCTTCCTTTCTCCCTTGTAAAACGATGCTACTGGAATATGTTCTCGACTTCACACAGATTGATAGTAACTTCATTGTAAAGAGTCTCTTCACTGAATATTATTGTATAGTCTAGTCATGAAAGATAATATAACACACTTCAGCAAAGAAAACTTTCTTCACCGAGGAAGTCGTCTTCAGGAGCTGTACAGTCGTATATGTATATTAACCAAAAATGTATAGTACTCCATTATTATGCAACAGAGGGGGTTAAATAATTGACATAACTACTCAGAAGTGGCTTCAAAAGTAAAAAGTAAAAGTTGTAAATTACGTGGTACTGGACGGCACAAAGTTAGAAATTTGATATGGTTAAAAATGTTATTGAGTGGGAAGGAAGTTGGTTGAGTGTCCATCTGACAAGTGTGAAGAGGGTGAGAAAATGTACAAAAAGAACATGTGAGAGTGATACTAGTGAATTAATTATTAAAGTAAAAGCAATGTATCCATTAAAGATAAAACAAAATTTTTACAGGGAACGACTAGTGAAGAGGTTAAGACCATGGTAGAATAAGAGACTAGACAAACGGTTTCTGTATACAGAGTTCAGGGTTGTATTGACGAATCATGAGTGCCTCTGCCACAAACAAGTGCCGAAAACTAACGTCTTTTGCACCATTCGGTTTCACCTTGTAGGTAATCTTAAAAGAATTGAGCCAGTAACTGTACTGCATTGTCCTTTTGCTAACCACAACGGATAATGTTCAGAGATGCGTATGTCAAGTGTGCGCTTTGTCTGGCCAATATAACTAGCTCCACATGAGCAGGTGAATTTATTAACACACGTTGAGGTGGCCCAAAGTGGCAGTTCATCCTTCACACGTCCATCGATCAGTTGTCGGCTGTAGAAATTGATACGTAGCTCAGCCACAAAGAAGGCTTTCCTAAGTGATCTGAATAAACGGTTCTTCAGGATCTCAGCTTCGGTATCACCTTTAGATTCAGCATTCATAAACATCAGTTTCTTCGGCACCGTCTGGGTTCTTTCAAGCTTTTGCTTTAACTTCATGTGTTTTCTTTATGAGGACTAGTTCCCCGTCGATTGTATCACTAGTGCATACCCTTTTTCTTGAGGATCAGATTTCTTTATTTTTTTCAAAAGGACTCAACTATGAAAATTCATCTATTCCTGTAGATCACTTTTTGAAGAGAACCATCAGATCTTTTAAGTAAAGCACCCGAGTGCATATCTGATTCTGACATGATTTCGTCGATAAAGAAAATTTCCTTTAAGTGTTAGTTTGTTGGGATCTGATTGATTGGTTACAGGATTTCCTCATCAGCTGACATTGGTTAGAGAACCATTAGAAAACCTGCAGGGAGTACTGGACAGCTGTTTCGTCTTAGTTTTGGACTCCTCAGCAAAGTGTACAAGAAAGGAGTAACTTGCCCATTGTGACATTTAAATACATATCAGTATTCACCAGTTACTTTGTAGATAAAATGACTCAAAATTCAACAAAAACTGGACATTTATTCACTCATCCCATACTGGTCTGTTCTGTCTTTTCTCTAGTGATAAAGTGATTTAGTCTTTAATTGTATGGAGGATTTAATCATGAGCTGACATCAGTTAGAGAACCACTGGAAAACCTGGGAGGACTGGACAGCTGTTTCGTCCTAGTTTGGGACTCCTCAGCAGTACGCACCCACCAGGGTTCGAACCCAGGACCTTCTGGTCACAAGGCTAGCGAGCTCGTAGACCATTGAGCCACTGGGACCCGATCCAATGGTTCTTGAATTCTAACTTCTGCCAATTCACGACATAGTGCGACCACTTCGCAATGTCTTCTTCGATGAGTTAATACCTCATCTTCGACCTGCTGTACCCTACTGGTCACGGCTTCCCACTAGAACCCCAGGAGTCCCAAACTAGGACGAAACAGCTGTCTAGTACTCCCAGGTCTTCCAGTGGTTCTCTAACTGATGTCAGCTCATGATTAAATCCTCCATACAATCAAACCAAATCCCTACAAAACCAACACTTGAAGATTTAGTCTTTTGTTTATTCTGGTATTCATACAGACATCTAGTGAAAGACTAAATAATTAAGCAAAGAATATCCTTCGCGATAATTTCCTCCTTCTCTGGCTCTACAATTATATATATATATATATATATATATATGTTTGCATACATAGAATATTCTAGAATAGTAGTCAGTAACAATATTAGTGTTTTTTTAAATAATATCGATTTGTTAAGTAAGATCACAATGGAATTACAGTTCGTTAAAGATGCTTAAATTATTATAAAAGTAATAATGAAGATATAATAGAAAATTCCACAAAAATTGAGGTTCATTCAAACCTAGATGGCCCAGGTAAGGATAATGTTTGAACTAGCTTCTTTTGGACACACAAATTAGGCTTCTTAATGGTGATCCCAAGAGTCTCAGCAATATTTCGTAGTCGAACTTTTACGGACTACTCCATCGAACTTGATGTTATTAGACAGCGATAAGTGTTGACGTATTTAAAGAAGTGACATTAGGACTTACCGTAAAAAGGTGATTAGACTTTCAAAGCACAAGCTCAAATAACCTGACACTAATTTCAAAATTCAATTTAGATATTTCAATTGTTTAAATTCAAGATTTTAGAATGAACAAATTAAGCCAAGTTTTTGTCGACAACATCAGTGCAAAGATGTCAACAAGGCTAGTTAGTTAATCATCTGTCATGTGATTGATTCAGAAAAATAACCAAATTATGACTAAAGTTAACGTGATCATGGTAGGATTCGACCTAGAGACTTGCTAATTGCCGACTCTGGCTTATACATTATATTATCTATGAGATCATAATTTTCCCTCTCACCACAAATGCTCCATCCAACTGTTATATAAAAATAGTTACCTCTTAAGCGGTAATCAAAAATGCAATAAACTAACCTAAAGGATTTAAGTGCATGGGTTATTCAAAGGGTAGAATGCTTATCAGTTAGGCACATGGTCCCATGTTCGATCAACAACGGAGACATTGGTCAACCTCATCCAGTTTACTAACAATTAGTAATCTGGGAAGAGAGGTGAGGTTAGTTCGATGACTAGAAAACCCAACCCTGTAGAAACAACATCACTGCTACTACCTGAAACTTCAAACCTCGAAGTCCTACCTTGAAATCGGAATGGAAAAAAGAGGTGAGCAAAAGTCATTTAACCCACTACACTGAAATTATTCAAGGTATGTAGATTTATGCACTCAGCAAAAAAGGTTTTGTTGGACCAATAGAGTTTTCTACGAAATTATGTTCACATCGCACGGGTACTTACTTTAATCAGTCTGTCGCAATTGGTTGCTTCTACCTTTTTGATACCCCAATGAATGCCAAGCAGTGGTATTGTAAGTGTGGTAAACAAAAACAACAACCAATCATCGGATAAGATGTCTTCAAAACTTCTTGTGGAACATAGTCTGTTAACTGAAAGCTCTGGATTTTGTTGAAGTCTATCTTTTAAAAATTATTATTATTACTACTCCCTAGGGTCCCGAGTGGAATGTAGGGCTTCAACAGCACGTCTCCACTTTGTTCTATACTCTGCGGTCCCTTTAGCTGCTCTCAAGACTGTCTATAGTCTCTCATCACCTCCTTCATGTTGCTTACGGACACGCCACTCGTTGTTTCTTATTCGGATTCTTTTCGAGCAATTGTCTGGCGCGTCATGTAATTCGATGGTCTCCTCAGTGTGTGTCCAATTTGTCTCCATTTTCTT